AACGGGACCAACAGACAGGGAGCAATCAGCTGCGAACTCGGAAAAGCTGTCCAGGGTGAAGAACTCAGCATTGTCCTTGAGATTCTTTTTGACAGGCACCCTGCGCCTCGGCCGTGCATTCATCGGCACAGCATCAAGCGCAGAGGTCGCATCCTCGACCTCGTCGTTCAAACTAGCATCCCTCAGGGCAGCAACATCATCGTAACCCAAGGGTAAGTCATTGCTGGCCCTATCTCTGGTGTTAGCGGAGGCGCTGTGAGAAGACATCTTCGAAATCTGCAAAAGAAATGCTGCGATTCCGAGCCCAGAGGTATCAACCTCATCAACAATGGGGGACTGTAAACCCCCCATCGCTCACAAAGCCAGTCTGATGGAAAAACCCTCATTCTGGGTTTTTCGGCTAAACTGCGAAAAGCGAAGAACAAATAGGTAGAGCTCGGGGACTAACCTAGGACGGAGAGTCGACGGGAAAAGCTGGAGCTTCGGTAACACATTTTCCGGAGAAAAAGAGCTCTAAGATTGATTGAGAATTCTGAATGCTGGAACACAAAGAAAGCGCAAAGGAGAAAGACGAAATCTTTCACCTTTTATACTTCCCTTCAAAATTGAACGGCAAGCCTACATGTGGCGCACTATTCACCAACCGCCCAAAAAACTCAAAGGTTTTTCCAAAAGGCGTGCAAAAAGGCGCAATGATGGCGTCGTATAGTCACTTCAAATGCCATCCCTCGCATTAAATGCTGAGAAGCGGCTATTAATTCAAAATGTTGCAAAAGGAATGTCTAAAGATTTCTATTTGTATACATCAGCGTTACTACACGCCACAAATTCTCCTAAGTCCACCAAGTATTAAAGACAACTGTCTCGTCCCCTTTTCAAACTTATACTCTTTTACACTTAGAAAATATTCTATGTCACAAGAGTGGGGGACTGGTAAGTGGGGGATTCGAGAAAGAAATCAAAAAACAAGACTACAACAAGCTCAGAACAACGCAGCAACCTCGGGATCAGCACCAAACATGTATATCTCTGAAAACAAGCTATGCACACACACATTTAAATTCCTTATAAATTTTTTCAAAATTTTATCAACCCACGGTCGGGGCCGTGGACGTAGCAACTAATCCATAAAGCAGGTTTGAGACACGGAGGATGTGGAGTTCGAACTCAGACCTCTCTGCAGTGGGGAGTCACTTTCCTCTCCGGACTTCATGGCAAAGCGGAGTATATTCTTTTTCCTCCGTTAGGATTTTTTCCCACAGGGTTTTTCCATAATGAGGTACCCCTTTGTCATGACCATGGAGAGCAGCACTCCCTGTCGGGCGCACAAGCCAAGGAAATTGAAGATTTACTTACTCTCTCTCACCTCAAGTTTCACTTTCGCTTCGAAGAGTGGGGGACTCATGATGGAGTATATTCCCATATACCCGAGAGGTATCATAATCGCCGATAAGAAAGCATCACGGAGCAACATCAGAGCGCGTGAAGAGACTAAGTCCACAATCGGGCCGACCCCGACCGACCAAGGTGAGGAATGAGCGTGAGACAGCGAAATAACCGTGGGCCAAAAGGTCATCCCGACCCCGACCTCGAGGTCGGGAAAACACCAGGCTCAGAAATGGGCCCAACCCGGCAAGTTATGAGCTCGACCTCGAATACCCGAGCTCGGTACCAAGCCTGACCTCGAAGGTCAAGCATACGGGCAACCAAAGTCAGAGTAACAAGCGGCTAATCACCTCAAAGGCAGGACAATAGACAGGAGGCGGATCCCCTCACGAAGAGCCTGAGCCTCCAATCGCTGACCCCGGTAGAACTCAAGGTCAGGCCAAAGCATTGTGTACTTAGACAAATCCACAGGGACCTGCACCCCAAAGGAAGTACTGACATGTCATCACCAGTAACGGATAATATGATAGAATGCACACGCTTAACCACACGACATTCTGGTAGCAGTCTGTTAGAGATTATTCCAATCAGCCAGTTGTCCAAGACTATCTCTCCAATCACCTTTACATGTGGCTTCTCCCCATCGAATTAGTCTGGTAGTTTGTTAGAATAGCTTTACACGTGTCCCCTTCCCATTTGATCTGTATCTTTTTACTTGGGCACCAAGTGTTGCCTTTCATCTCTTAGTATAAATATCACTTTCCAACCTGTGAAAGGGATCACATTCTGAATTCTCTACTGTTATTCTTCCAGAATATCTACCTGCGTTTTCCGATCAGTTCACTCTCTTATTCTATTTGTATTCCGACTACCCCCGGTTCGGTGATCCATGAGGGATGAATGGAGTAATTATTTGATATTGGTGATATCATATGTATCTTCTTAGGTTACCCACAAACCAATGAGGAATAAGCCAATTTTGAGTTTTTCACCCCAAAAAACATTGCAAACTATGTATTTGAGGGGTGCCAAAGAGGGTGCATGCCACCTCTGGACTCTGGAGTGGGAATTCAGTAGGCATATTCATCGAATTTGGATCCTCTCCACTAACGGGAGAGTTCCATTAGGAGAGATATAGATAAGAGAAAATTAAGAATGGGGTAGTTTGGTGAGTAGGATAGAGTAAAAGGTAGAGATAGATAGAAAGTAAAAAGGAAATGGAGGGGAAATGGAGAGGAGTTGAACCCATATTCATCGCCCCTTTGCTTGTGTGTTGTACGAATGGAAGAAAACAACGGATGCTGGTTAGCCGCATGAAGAATAAACAGTGTGGGTTTATATAGATTTTAAATCTCAGTTTTTTAAATGTAATAACGTTTTTTTTTTATTTCAGTTTTCCAAAATTTATACTTTCTCTGTATTTAAAAGTTCACTACAAAAGTTTTGAGCACATTATTTAAGGATAAAATAGTAGAAGTAATGTATAGTGTAGAAAAAATAAGACAGAAGATAGAAAAACATGAAAGAGAAGATAACAAAAAAGTATGGGTAATTGAGTTTTTTTAAAAGAAAAACGTACCGAATATGAAAAGTGTAACAAATTTTTAAATACATCCAAAAACAAAAGTGTAACAAACTTTTAAATTTGAAGAGAGTATTGAAATTAATACTTTTTTATGGAGTATGATCTTTCAAATGACACATATATTGCATATATAAAGTAAATAATAAAATTGAAGTTTTAACTCCTGAAGTTTTTTAAACACTAATTTTTTTCTTAAATAGATTCAAATGCTAAAAAAATTAGATTCCAGATTAATTGTTTTTGCATCTTTAACTTTTTCCCCCTAAAATAGGTCTGAAATAACATTTAAAAAATTAAAATCAAAATTTATGTCTTTTTACATTGGAATGTTTGACTTTTCAAATCATAAATATCCGTAAAAAATAAATTAAAAAAATTGATGTATAATAATACAAAATAATATTTTAATTTGATTTATTGACGAAGTTGGATTGCGATTATCCTCAAACCATTCGGTCACACAAAAATATATACAAAAATAGATAAAGGGTTTAGCATACATTATATATAAAGAGTTTTTTCTATAAAAAAAATTACTAAAATAAAATTTATTTACAAAAATATGATTAATAGTCACTACACTATTATGTCATGATCATGTACTATGATTAGGTTATTATTATAGTCACTAATCACGTTTTGGTAAACACCTTCCATTTTAGACATAATTATGTAATTTTTATTCCATACTCCCTCCGTCCAATTGGACTGTCAACTTTCAACTTTTGATTGTGTCAAAAAGCTTTGTCATTTTCCATTAAAGTAATTATTTTATGATTCTTCTCATTTCTCTCTCATATGATACACACATGCACAACATATATATGCACGGTCTGTGTCTCTATATACAATTATATGAGAACGTATTTTTAAAATTAATTCATGGACAAAGTGCACATATACAAGTCTCATTATTTTCTTCCTAAGCATGACTTGCTTTTAATTTCTCCCATGCTAGAAAATTCGACACTCTTAATAGGATGAAAATAAATCGAATAAAACATAATTAAAGTAATGTTGTGTATATGTACATAAGAAAATAAACTTCCTGTGGTTAAATTTTACTATTTGGACATTGTTTAAACATTGTTTGAACACTGTTTGACACTGTTTTGATGTAGATAATTTGCCAAATAAAGATATGGGAAGAAATGTGGAGTTAATTTTGAAATATGCATTTAAGAAAAGTGACAAGTTAGAAAAGTGAGAAGTTATCTGTGAGACGGAAGAGAAAATGAAAGGTGAGTGATCGGTTAATGAATATTCCAATGGTGTAATGATCGTGAGCCGTACGTGCCTGCATTTGATTCGTTCTTCATTGATTGGATCAATGAAGAACAAATCAAATGCTAAGCTAAGCTTGTGAACCTATTAGCTAAGCTAAGCTAAGCTAGTGATCCATCATGATGATCATCGCCGGCAGGGGCGGACCCACCCTAGGGCTAGGGGGTGCCCGTGCCCCTGCGGTGATTTATATATATATATATATATATATATATATATATATATATATATATATATATATATATATATATATATATATATATATATATTGGAAAATTCTCAGGTTCAGCACCTCCCGGTCCGAACGCCGTCCAAACACCGCCGTTTGGGGCGCTTTCAGGTGGAATTTTTTGATGCAATTTTTTGAGCATGTTCCTCATCAAGTCTAGTTTATTCATACCAAATTTCAGGTCAAAATTCGACCGTGGAGGCAGTCAAATAATTCGTTGAAGTTAACTGCGTTTTTCTATGTATAATTTGGCGCAGTTAACTTCAACTAATTATTTGACTGCCTTCCCGATCGAATTTTGAGGTGAAGTTTGGTATGGATAAACTAGACTTGATGAGGAACATGCTCAAAAATTTTCGTCAAAATATTCCGACGGGAATCGCCCCAAACGCCGGTGTTCGGACGGCGTTCGGGCAGAAAAGTGCTGGACAGAAAAGTTATGCCGGTTGAGACTTATGATGTTAATATTAGAGATGAGTTGAGGAGACGTTATTTGAGAAAAGGTCGTTGCCAACCGCGTGACTTTAAATTTCCACAAAGTGATTTTAATGGGTGCAACAGATCATTCCAAAAACAGTGATTTTATTTAAATTTTATAGTTTTGTTTATTGCTATACTCGTGATGCATATGATTTTTTTCTAGACTAGTATATTATTTCTTTGTTATTGTGCCACTGCGAGTCACGAGTCCTGGTTCCGCCACTGATCACCGGCCAGTAGTCAAGGCTCCAAGTGGCCTTGTGAAACCAGGCCGGTGATCCATTTCTTTCGCTTCCTGCCTGCGATCGATCAGAAACCAAGCCGTACGTGCCTGCCTGCGATCGATCAGAACCTATTAGCTAAGCTAAGCTAAGCTAGTGATCCATCATGATGATCATCGCCGGCCAGTAGTCAAGGCTCCAAGTGGCCTTGTGAAACCAGGCCGGTGATCCATTTCTTTCGCTTCCTGCTGCGGCGAGGATGGAATTTGGAGCGAATTTCGGCCGTATTTTTGGGATGAGGAGGAGACTAGCGCCGACGGCGGGTGAGCGACGGCGGCCAAGAGACTACTATGGGTGTAGGAGGCCGCCGAAAGAAACGGACGCGGCGGCGGCGGCTGGATAATTATCTTCTGGAGGTAAGCAGCAGCAGCGGGAGGGAGTTGGTGATGGGCGAAGCGAGTTGTGGTGGGGAAAGGCGGGATGCCGGTGAACTCCTGAACCATAGCTCGGAAATTGGAGGTGTCCGTGGTTAACACTGTGGTGGGCGCTCTCCTTGAAGCTCGGGACCGTTTCTTCGTGTTCCGGCTGCCGCTGCTGCTGGACAGGGCCGGGGTATTGGACCAGCTGCTGCTGCTGAACGGGATCGGAGGATCCAAATAGCTGGACAGCAAAGCCGCCGTCGGACTCATCACGGCGGCGGTCTCAGGTGGCTGTGAGATCAGTTGGCCCCATGTTTTGCTCATCAAGGAATCGTCGTGGTAATCCTCATCGCCGCCCGGTAAACTCCCACTGTTTCCAGAATCCATCTTCCTGCAGCCGATCTTTAATCAATTAATTACAATCCCTCTCAAAAAGCCAGCCAAGGCTACGCTGCACACACAAAAACAAGCAGATAGAGGAGGAGTTTAATTATTAACTAATAATTAAAGCTCGATCAATTAAAGATCGATGATGATGCTTTGATCTCCGATCCCATCAAGTTAGCTGCGCTGCGCTGCTAGGAACAATTAAGATCCGGCCGGCGGCTTCTCTCTCTCTCTCTCTCGTATTTCTTACATACATAAGTTCATAACCGCGCGCGTTGTGTTGGTTGCGGTTGAGCTCCCTATGCTTTCCTCACCATCATCACATTCAACACAATAAAAGAAGATCCAAACCCAATCCTAGAGAGATACGTAGAAGTACGAAATGCACATACTTTATAAAGAAATTATTACAAATGGACTAAAACATGGTTAAAACTCAAAAATAGGACTTGAAGTTTTAAATTGCTTAAATGGGACTCCAGATTACAATTTTGTCCTTCTACAATTAAAATCCACATCCCCCTTCAATTCATCGAAACCCTCTCCTGCAGTGCATCGATCCCCCCTTCTGCAATTCATCGATCCCTCTACCCCTTCTGCAATTCATCTATCGCTCTCCCCTTCCGCACATCCCTTCCTCTCATGGAAAGCAACTTCGCCATCGCTATTGCCACGCACCGCAGCTCCGTCATCGACCATAGGTATCCTCCCTCCTTTCTCCTCCTCCTCCTCCTCCTCCTCCTCCTCCTCCTCTATTCCATCTCAAATTTTTGGTTCTATGTTCTCTTCTTCTTTAGATTTTTTGGATTTGAATTTTATTTATTAATTTAGATTTTTTGGATTTAAGTTGTATTTATTAAGTACATAAAATGCCACTCGTATAATTTGAGAATGTCAAAATTGTTGGTTATTTGAAGAAAAAAATGTCATGTTTGTGGCATTACATTTACTTCTTTGAAACTATCATGAAAGTGATTGTACAAACCTCCATGAGGAATGCCACTTCATATGCGAGAATGTCACTTAATATGCATAATGACACAATAATGACAATTTTGTATAGAAATATGACATTCTCAATATGATATTTTCAAATATTGTAATGACATAAATGTGACATTTTTTAAATATACCTAATGATTATGACATTCTCTTTTTCAAAAGTAACATTTTCTGGAAACATCAGTCAAGGCATTTTGAGAATCAGAGTAATCAAAATTGATAACAAGAAATTCAAGTGTAGATATAACTTCATTTGAAACTTTCAAAAATCAAAAAATTAGAAAAAATCTGATTGATAAAATAAAAAAAGCAGAGAACTAGGAAGAAGAAGAAGAAGAAGAAGAGATTACCTACCTGGTCGCCGATGAGTGCAGGGTTGGTAGCCGATGATGCAGGCTACAACACATGGCGCTGCGGTGCTCTGAAGGTATCGATGGAGGTTGATGTGCATCGCTGGTGTGCATCGCTGGTGTGCATCGCTTTTTAACTAAGGGTAGTTTTGTCAGATTACCTCTTTTTAGTCCTATTTTTGTTAAATAAAACATAGTAGTCCTATTTTTGCAATTCTACCTTGATTTAGTCATATTTAGGTGAATCTCTCTACTTTATACTCCTCGGTCCCAAATTGCTTTATACTCCTTCATCCTAAATTGTTTGGTAAAGTCAATGCTCCCTATCGATAATTATTTAATTTTTAATAATTAAAGTTTATATATTCAGAAACTATATTAAAATCTCTTCAAAGTTTTAACTTCAAATTATAATATAATTAAAAATTGACATCATAATTAAACGAACAAAATGAAACCATTTGACCAAGAAAAGTCAAATTTGCGAATCAATTTGAGACGGATGAAGTATCATTCTTTTTTTTTATAGTCCAGGTGTCGCTGTTTGAGCTCCCCTAATCCTGGAGTCTATTGACTATGCTCCAAAGCCTCTAGACAGTCAAATCCGGATATTATCACAATCAGCTTTCGTCGGTACTGGTACCACAGGACGAATCCAGCAAAACTTCCTTTCAACTGAATTCAGAAGGGTCCTCCTACTATGCAGGGCTTCCTTTCATCTGTATCCAGAAGGGTCCTCCCACATATGAATGTCCATCCGCTCCCTTCTAAGCCGTTGTGCAACTCCGTGAAGGTAGGAAGAATCATTGGGAGCAAAACCTCCCTCCTCTCCCTTAAATGTGCCTAGCGGGATTCGAACTTGAGACCTCCGCTAGGACACGGTAACCTCTCATCCAGAGAGCTGGAATGGTTGGTTCTTTACATCATTCTCTATTTATACTTTGCAATACTAAAAAGGTGGTCATATTCCTTTTATTTAAGCAAATTAAGAGCCCGTTTCGTAATAGCCAAATCGACTATATTGGCTAATTCTGCTTAAATTTATGAAGTTCTGGCTGATGTGGCTGTATTGGCTGATTCTGCTGATTTGTGAAAAATAATAATTTAAAATACATTTTATTAATAAAATAGAGAAAATATTATATGAGAAAATAGTTAAAATGGTATTCTACAGTAACTTCAGCCAATACAGCCAGAAAAATAACTTCAACCTTACTTTTTCTTATTATTACACAACACAGCCCGTAAAACCAAAAGTTATGTGTTTGGTGAAAAAGTGGCTTATAAGCCTGAAAAGCCAAACATCATGGCTACCAAACGGAAACTAAAACGAATCGAAACTTGATCACATGAAATATGCTTTGGTAGAATTTCTTCCCATCCGTATTACAACGAGCCGAATCGAAATCAACGAAAACTGAAACCGATATACATAAAGTGCAGTATGTTTCAATAATTTTTTTAACTACTTTTCCAATTGAATGTTGAGCTTAAGTTTGGTGGCATAAACTACACTTGAAAAAGAACATGTTCAAAAAAATCCATCGAAGAAATCCACCGAGAATCACACTAAATAGTGAATTCGAATCATATATTGTTCGAACGGGACTCATATATATAGGGTGAGGTTCAAATAAGAAGTCTTTATGTGAGAAATGAGAACGAATTTCAATCATTGGATTCGACTAATTTGCGGTAAAAACACTTTATTATTATTGGCGGGAACAACATTAAATGCGGTAGATTTGGTGGTTGGGAGCTAGTCATCCACAACCCGCCACATCAGCAACCTCGTCTACCCTTATTAGTATAAATAGTGGCATTTATTTCCTTGTAAAGGGTTGGTAACTTAGTACTCTAGCATATAGCATTCGTAATCAGCTCTTAGCACACAGTTGGATGAACGGCCTCAAGGCTCTTGTTTAGACATAATACGAAACAGATACCTATTACGACTGAAATATCTCCTCTCTTGTTTGTTTAATCACCTAACTCCTCAAAACCTTCCATTTGAGATCCAAGGGTACGTGTTGGGCCTTTGGGTTGACGGAATTAACCTCAAGAACCATGTAGCCATACGTACAGCGGCCGCCGACGTTCATCCCATCAACCAACCGATAACAGATAAGTCTGGGGCGACGTCCGCCATTTGGGCCTTATCTTTTACTTTCCTCTTGGGCCTCTGTTGAAGGGATGTTCATTCTCCTAGCTTGAGGAAATAGTTTTGTGTGGCCCCCTATCTTGTCACGGATATCAAAGCGATGTTTTTAACCCCAGGGACCACCTGTCGCATGTCGCTACGTGTCCTCTTTTGATTGGGAGGGCCACATGGTGATGCTTATAAGTATCCCCAATTTGGGGAATCAACCATAACGCCTTGCTTCCTGTTGTTACTCTGCCAGTTTTCCTTCTCTCTAACATCGTAAGTTCTTGATTCGTACCCTCTGTCTCCTTAATCATGTCTGATAATACAGTACCCTCAGCCTCTCCTGAACCTGAAACATTGGAGTTTACCCATAGTATTTGGGGAAATTCGTCCTCCGCCTCCGTTCGTCTGGATGATCAGGCGGATGACGATTGTTTTTTCAGGGACAATTTAGAATTTTACGAGCGGAGAATGCCTGACCGGCCTCCCCGTTACTCCCTTCACTTACACTGCATTTGGTGTCAGCGCCAATGCTTATTCCTCTGTGACATCAATATGATCAGCCAGTGGTTTCATCCCCCTCAGGGTTGGGACACTCGGTTCATCTGTCACCCTATGCGTCATTTTCCCATCATGTGGTCGTCCACGTAGACTCGGTAATAGTTGGCTTGGCTTTCTCCTTACACCCCTTCCACATTAATCTTTTTCGGATGCTTCGTATCACACCAGCGCAGCTCATATCAACTTCGTATAGGATTATAGTCGGTTTTATTATCCGTTGTCATAACGTGGGGGTCGTCCCCACTATGGACTTGTTCCTCCATTTTTTCCGGGTTTCCCCTTCGGACGCACATGGTACATTTGTCCACCGCTCGTAATTGGAGGGACCTCTTTTCCAACAACGGTCCCAATCCGGACGGCTGGGAACGGAAGTTATTTTTCGCTGAAGTTGGTTCTCCAATGCCTTTTTCAGATCGATGGAATCCTTGTCCGGTCAAGTTCGACTCTCCGACCTTGACCGACGAAGACCTAGAATATGTCGGTCGTATTGCTGGCCTTGGTACCCAAAACCTCCGGATGCTTGTGGACGACTCTCTCATGGCGAAAGTCGGGATAGGTACGTCCAATCACCGCTCAGGATTTTGGGCTTTGTGCCTTATATTATGCTGATCATATTTTTCTTGGGCAGGCGTTTATATCGATCCTCCAGCTATGGACCGCAATAACAACATTCCACCGATCCCCGACTGACAAGACAATGGAAAGGGAAAGTTGGCCGTTGAGGACGATCATCTGGTCACTCGTTCCCGCACGATAGCCAATGCCGGCGATGAGTGTCTGCCCAAGAGGCCCCACGACAACGGTGCCCCTAAGGTTCTGGTCTTGGTAGATATCTCAGATGATGAGGCTGTTATTCACGTTGAGCCCCATGCGTCTCATCCTCCTCTTACCACAGAACTCCACAACCTTTCTATGGGGCTGATAGAGTTCTCCGGGGTTGAGCCCCGTACGGAGTCGAAGATGTTGTTTGGGCAGACGACTTCTTCCATCTGGTGTTCTCTAGGCCTAAAGGTGCCCTCAGATTTTTCCGCATACGAAGAGCCTGAGGACCTACTTGAATGCGGCCTTGGTGAATTAGATAAGGCGGCTATCTACTTCAAGAAAGCCCGAGGGGCCTATGAGCGATAGGGAAGAGCGATGGCCAAGCTGAGGGCCGAGTTCGATGGGCTGATCAAGAATGCCAAGGACCGCATCTCTCGGCCTCAAGAGAAAGCATAAGCCGCTGACAAAGTGGGTCGTGAAGTTGTTGTACTTCAGGCGAAGCTAAAAACCCAGGAGGGGGAGCTACAAATGCCTGGGGCGCAGCTCGACGCTGTCACCAGAGCCGGCGTGGTTGTTCGTCGTTCGGGGGAGGATGCTGTGGTTGCTGAATATGAGGCTGATGTCTCCAAGATTAAGCAGGCCGGTTTGGCCGATTTCCAAAGGTTTTCCGCCTTCCGAGAAGCACGTCGGGGAGCATTTGAAGCAGAGCAAGCAGCCTTATTTGGGCGACATCAAACTGCTGCAAGGTTCTCCCTCCGACCAGCAATTTCTCTAGGATTTGGCCGATGATACATTCGCCAAAGGCATGGTTTGCCTCATCCAAGAGAATCTCCCCATCTTGGAACGTCACTTCCCTGCCCCGTTCGATCCTGAAGCTGTCGTGTTTGATTTGTTCTTGGTTGAAGCCTATGAGGACGCTCTAAAGCTCATCAAGGCCAAAGAGAAAAATGCCAATCCGAGCGGCGATAAGGCTTAGCATCTTCCCTTCCCTCTTTTCTTCTATTGTAATTGTATTGTTGTTGTATGATAACCGCTTCCGCGGCGTTGTAGTAAAATGGAGTCTAACCTTTCGGTTTTTCCCCGAGTATCATGTCTCTGAGAAATGGCAGAGGTCTTTTATTAATTTAGTCTTAGTCACGGGCTATCGCTAATCGTTGGAAGCTTTTTCAATACAAAAAGGGTGATTGTGTTCTAAACTAGGACAAATTGCAAAATTAAGATCAAATATTCTAAAGATTAATGAAAAGATTGAGGCAAATAAGGGCAATGAATTGAGTAATTAGAAATGGATATATTCTTGGACCTAGTAATTAGGGGAATTAAAACTAAAATTGGACCAATAATTTCTTTTCTCATAGACAAGAATAGAAATTACTTTCATTAATTTATCCTATTTCTAGGTTTCATTAATGTATTCAAAAATGGTTGGCTTGAATTAAATTCTAATCTCATAGACAAGACAGAAATAATTCTCCAATATTTTAATTAATAAAAATAGTCAAATTCATTAACTAATTAAACTCATTATTTAAGCAATTTGAATTTATTTCTCATACACAAGATGTAAATCCCTTTCATTAAAATTTCCTATTTCTAGGCCTTATTAATGTGCTTGAATATGGTTGGTTCAAATTATTTTCTAATCTCATAGACAAGTTAGAAATAATTTTCCAAAATTTAATTAATGAAAATGGCTAACAATTATTAACTACTATTTCATCAATTTAAATAACTAGTCCAATTCATTAATTTTAACCCCTAATTTTCGGCTAACAAGTCAATCCATATTCCTTTAGTCAATTCATGCCCAAAACATATTTAGCTACTTGATGGAGTAATTGTTTAGAGAGAAGTGAGAGCTAGAGAGAGAAGTGCAGTAAATGCTTCAATTAATGATTTTGTCCACCCCTACAACTACTCCAAAAGGGAGTATTTATAGAAAAAATGTGGGCTGGGCTCCCAAGTCTTGGGCTTGGGAGGCCCATCTAAAACTGGACCGCTAATGGGCCGAATACAAGATGTGTAGGAATGACTAAGTATGAAATCATGTTCTGTGAGTTCTCCGTGGCCGACGAGGGCGTGGCCGACGGAGGCATGGCCGACGGAGACCCGGCCGATGGGGTCACCCGGTTCTCCTGGCTTCCAGACCATATTCTGGGTTGATGTCTCCCTGGCCGACGGGGGCATGGCCGACAGAGACCCTACTAGGTGACAGATGTGCTTTCTTTTCTTCTGAGTATGTGGGTCCTGGGGCATGGACCCATATACTCCATCAGGAGTCCCCCACTCTCTGAGCTGAGATGTAGATGAAGTGAGGGAGAGTAGATTCCAGCCTTGGTGTCTTCTGGCCGTTGTGGCCATTTCCTGTTTTTGGTCTTTTGTGTTAGCCGTTGTATGCTCCTTACTGTGGACGAAGAAGACTGACGTTCCTCTGATGGGGTGAGTTCGCTTGTTTGAGGACGATGAGTGTCCTGGCTCAGTGGCCGATGTGTGCTCTTGCTTTGTGGTCATTGGTGGTTGCTTTTAGGTGACTTGGCCGAGGAGGCCTCATGATTGTTTTCGTGCTTTGGGCCAAAGCGGTGATATCCGTAGTTAGGTGTCCATCTTTGAGGACGATAGCGGTGCTGACCCAAAAGGAGTGCGTATTTTGATCTTATGGACGACGATGACCTGAGGACGTTGTGTTCCCGTTTTCTCACCTTGGCCGAGAGTGGAGTATGCGATCTTAAAGCCGTTTGAGTGGCGCGCGTCAAGGGACGATACGTGTCACATTTTGGGAGGAGTTATACTTCTTTGCTTGTTGACCCCAACGCGGCTGAGGGTGCATCACTATGGTGCATGTATGGCATACTGTTGTTGTAGTTGTGGACTTGTGTTATTTTTTGGATTTTTAGTTTTGTCCTTGCTTACATTTTGGAGGCCGTTATAGTCCCCCAATCCCCCACTACTTCAGGCCGAAGAGTGAGCGAGGGGTGAAGGAGTAAAATGTAACCCTAGGCCGAAGTGAGATCCTCGTATTGCCCTTGAATTCGACCTTTTGGCGATTTCCTGACCAAGGTAACCCTGTGGGAGAACCCTTGGACGCAGGTCGCTTACTAAGGGTTATCATCAACGGTTTTGTACGAGGACCGATGGCTGTTAGGTTATCTTTTTACTTTGCTTTTGTAGCCGTTATGGGGGTCATGCTGCTGGTGATTCGTGTGGCCGATATGGGCGCCCTTTGAGGCCTTGTGTGTCGTGGTGGTGTTAGATGTCAGACAGCCGTTGAAGTGAAATTGATTTGCTCTGGTGAGGCCGTTGAATGTCTTGGCCGTTGTAGATGCCATTTGTCCGTGGGTTGAACCGTTAGTGCTTCCTTTGAAGTAGGCTGGCTGTCCCCGAAGTGGGCCTGACCCGTTTACGAAGCGGTGGCACCTTGTTGGGCCTTGTAGTGGTGACCGTCGGGGTGGCCACTGATGGTGTGCCACGTGTAGTGACCGTTGGGGGGAGGTCTATAAATACCCCCCTTTCCCGAAGGAAGTCCCCCACTTTCAATTTGAGCTAACGAAGTGCTGCCCAAATTCCTAGAGAGAGAAACTTGCTCGAGTATTCTTCCGTTTCTTCGAATCTTCAAAGGTCAGTTCATCACCCTTTCCTTCATTTTCTATATATTTTGCTTCCTTGGCCTTTGATCTAGTGTTAGTCAGTGAACCCTACTTAGATCCAATTTAGAACCTCGTAGGGCTTTAGTAGTTGTTGCGATGAAACATTTGGACGAAGAGTACTACCCCTATGACGACGAGGTCTCCGCGAAGTCCCTCGATTATGGGTTGGTCGAAGAGTTCTGCGAGGAGATTGAGGATCTGAGCTCCTTCAAGTCTGGGGAGCAGTAGGACGAGGAGGGCCAAGACGAGGAGGCCGCATCGTCATATGAAGGCGAGGATGTCGGGGTCTCTCGTGCAATGGACGGGGCGCCTACCTAGGCCACCATTCCATGCCCCGAACCGGTGTCTGTTGCGAAAGGGAAGGCGCCGGTTAAGAGGACGTGTCGGCCGAAGAATGGCCCAGGCTTCTCCTATTTAGACCTCACCAATATCTACATCATCAGGCCGCAAAGTAACGCGGGTGAGTACCTGGTCGCCCAGATGTATGTGGGGTCGTTTGGGAGGGTTAGGGCACCCAGGCCGACGGACCATGTACTTAACCCTCCAGCGGGGTATTTTGGAGTGTACCCGATGAGTTTTGCAAAAGGAATTTGGTTCCCGCTTCATCCTTTCATTACGGAGTACTTGGACATGGTGGGTCTCCCTCTAGCTTTGCTAACGCCGAACAGCTATTCCTTGATCATCGGCTTCCTCCTCCATTGTGCTGAGTTGGACTTTAGGCCGATGACGGCATTTTTTATGAATTTGTACCAAATAAGCCGAGGAAGCCACAAGAACTGTTCTTGCTATGCCACCCTTCAACAGATCCAGAGAAAGAGGTCCTTCACTGATCTTCCTTCGTCCATCCATGGCTGGAAGAGTAAATTTATCTTTGTGTCGCTGGGTGAGGGAGGCACTGAATTCCATTCTGTCGTCCATAGTGGAAGTTTCAACCTTCATGATCCACCGAAGAGTTCAATCTTGGACGCGCAGGTGACAACGTTCTTGAAAGGGGCTGAGGAGCGTGAAAGAGTACATCATGGAGTACAAGATGGCCGCCCTCGGCTTCGTGAGGTATTTTGTATATGGTGACAAGGAGGAGGATGTAGAACTGTGGCCGAAGATGACCACAACTTATGAGGAGGCCGATGGCCCTGATCTGAGGGTGCCAACTGAGGCCGATGGTAATGTCCTACTGACGCCCTTCTGCTCACCGTTGGTTTATCCCCTCATTCGCTGACCCTTTGTGTTTTTCTTGTGCAGGTTTCAGTATGGATCGCATGTCGTTTATGAAGAGGGTGTATCTAAAAACGTCCGAAGAACTGAAAGCTCAGCAGGCCGCTAAGTCGGCAGCCGATGCGGGCCAACCCGCTACTGCTCCTACGACGAAGCCTCCCGTTCAGCCGAAGAAGAAACGGCCGGCCGAAGAGGGCCAGAAAAAGCTCACGGAGGCAGGCTTGAAGCCTACCAAGAAGTCGAAGAGGGTTTCTCCTTCTGGTGCTGACGTCGAGGCGCTGACCGTTCCGTGTGGGGGCGAAGGTGGCTCCAATGCCGATGTGGTGGTAGATCTTACCTCGAGTCCTTCGTCCACTGGTGTATCCAAACTTCCACTTGCCGTCGCGGCCTCCCGGAAGAAGGGGTCCAGTCGAGAGTTGGTCAGGGGGGGCTATAAACTTGAGGTTGAGTGCCCCGTTAAGGGCGGTGTGTTCAACGAGATTGTTGACGGCAATGAGGTGATCTCCCAGGCCGTCCCCGACGAGGACCGTGCTTATCTTGGCAAGCTTGGCGATGTCAAAATCTACAACGGTGGGATGGGCCACATCGTCCAAGTAAGTTTCCTTCGCTTTGCTTTGCCTTCCCCTTTTTTTTGTTTTATTGCATGTATCATCGTCGTCTAACTATTTTGTTTCTGCAGGGTGCCTTTATGCTGATGGAGAGTTACAGAAGGCAGCAACTGGAGATCACTCGGCTGAAGCAAATCGAGCAAAAGGTGGCTTCGGCTGATGAGGCTCTGAGCAGCTTGGACAGGCTGCGGCTCGAGGTGGAGGGGCTGAAGAAGAGGGCGGACGAGGCCGATTTGCTTTCCGTTGAGAGGGACGGGTGATACGTTCGTAATTTCCATTTCTATGTTTATGTTTTTAATTAGTTTTGCTTGACTTTTACTTTGGAAATTACACACTTTTGGTGTAATAGATTAGATTGTTAAAATTCTTGTAAATAGGTTAGATTAGACATATTCTGAGCTTAAGCAGGTTTTGGTCACCCAAAGTACAGTTGGTGAACCCAAAAAGTGAAGAGAAGGTGCAAAAGTTCAAAGACAAAAGAAGATCCTGAATTTTGGTCTATACTCGGTCGAGTATTAGATATACTCGATCGGGTATTAGGTTGGAACTTCAAATCGGATCAGATCCGAAGACAAAGGAACATGCAGGGAAGATTTTGACCACGATTCTATGTCTATACCCGATCGGGTAGACCGACATACCCGATCGGGTATGCCTTTAAATTGCAAACGAAGATCGGTCGAGTATAGCCCGAATACCACTTTCTAAGCATACTCGACCGGGTATTCATATATACTCGATCGGGTATACACTTAGAAAATAGCCTGAAACCGGTCAAGTATGCCTCGGATCGGGTGTTACACACATACTCGATCGGGTACCATGTATATACCCGATCGAGTACCCGAATCTCATCCCAAAAACCTATAAATACACCTCCTTTCCTTCACAAAAAGATATTCAATCCCTTATACATCTAAGCTCAGTATAGAATAGCTCTTTCTTTATATTTTTTTATCATGTTTAGTCTCCAAATGAGGAGCTAAACTCTTCCATCTTGGTTTTGCAACTTTGAAGCTTAATGAATTTGTAAGTTGTGAGTTATTTTTCTTTAATCTTCTTCCTTGAATATTAATTCTTTCTTTCAAAATACTATCTCTATATCAAAGTTGGGGAGTGTTACTAAGATGACAATTAGTTAACATCTTGACATTGGTTATAGTAATAGCTATTTCTTCCTCTATGATAATATTGGGGAGTGTTACTAAGATGACAATTAGTTAACATCTTAATATTAATCATAGTAGGATTCATATATTTTAATATTCTTCCTTGAGTATTAATTAATTCCTATTCATATTTCATGTTAATATCTTAAACATTACTTAAAGTATCAACTAGTATTGTTTCTCATATTAATTATTACTAGAATCAATCGGTTAATACGCTTGTTATTAATCCGGTTCTTTCAACGGTAGTAAACTTGGAATATTAATGCATGCATCTCATGGTTAATGTGTCAAGGGGAATTAATTATATTGATTAAACCAATAAACCGCTTGTGTTGAGGTCATCAATCTCAATCGTTTTCATCTTAAGTTTATTGCTACTATGAAGTTAATATACGGCGCTTGTTCTATATTGACTCGATAGTAAGTTTTATTAATGAACGCATCTCGTTATTAATAACTACCCTCGATGAACTGGATATACTCCTCGATTGAGTATTCGAGAGGAAGATAGTTAAAGATATAACCGGGATCGACGAACATTTCATTAAGTGGATAAAAGCAAAACCAAGTCCCCATCTCATTGAATTAAACTCATATAGGTCGTTTATCTTAGTGTTATTAAACCAAACAAATCTAAACCCCCCTTGTTATTATTTATATAAAAGAAAAGTATTCCTTTCCCTGTGGATACGAACCTTACTACACTATACTACGTATTAGTGTTGTATTGATTAATTATTTTGAGTGCACCTAACGACGAGTGCACGTCAAATTTGGCGCCGTTGCCGGGGAAGGGCAATAAATTTTTCTTTTATTTCATATCAAGAAAAATTTAAAAAAAGAATATATACCAAACAAAAAAATATAAAGAGTTCTTATTTCTTCTATTTCTGAGCTTAGTGGAGTTTATGGTTAAACATCGCTCCATAAACAAAATCATATATCAAACAAACCCAGAAATAGAACAAACTTTCGAGCGGTTGAAAAGTAAATTTTCTAATACCGACTCGGAGGAATCATCTATCAGAGATTCATCCAGCGCTAGTTCTCATTCTAGCGAGACCGAAGAGTCAATAACCATGGCTCTTGAGACAAGAACACTACGGGAGCTCACTGCTCCAAATCTCAATCAACAACCGTTATGTATTACCTTCCCTACACTCGATGAAGGTAATACATTTGAGCTAAAATCTGGGCTCATACATCTACTGCCATCCTTTCATGGCTTAAGAGGAGAAGATCCGAACAAACACCTTTCTGAGTTCCATATTGTGTGCACAAGCATGTGCCCCAGCGGTGTCTCGGAAGAACAAATCAAATTGAGGGCTTTTCCATTCTCCCTCAAAGACACTGCAAAGGATTGGCTATTCTATCTTCCTTCGGGAAGTATAGACACATGGGCAGCAATGAAAAAATGCTTCTTGGATAGGTACTATCCCGCCTCAATCTCATCTTCTTTAAAAAAACAAATAAGCAACATTGAGCAAAAAGAAGATGAAACATTGTATGAATATTGGGAGCGCTTCAAAAAGTTGTGTGCTAGTTGCCAATATCATGGGTACACCGAGCAAGACCTCATCCTCTATTTTTATGGTCTTGCGGATCAAGATAGGCGCATGGTGAATGCGGCTTGTGGAGGGGGAATTGTTAACAAAACCCCTTCTCAAGCAAGGAATCTCATCTCAGAATTGGCCGAGAACTCCAGACATTACAGTGGGCGATCCTCAACTCGAAGGGTTGCCGCAGCAGAATCCAACATCTCGTTGGAAGGCCAAGTTGCTAGTTTGACTTCTCTTGTCAAAGAACTTCTTCTGAAACCTAACACTCAGGAGGTCAAAGCTTGTGGCATTTGCACAGCAACCGGGCACCCCACTGATTCGTGCCCATCCCTCCAAGAAGAACAAGTCAACGCCTTGGGTTTCCAAGGCCATCAACAGAAGAGGTATGATCCATTCTCAAATTCTTACAACCCTGGATTGCGGGATCATCCTAACTTGAGGTATGGAAACCCTCAACAATCCAACTCATCTTCTCAATCTGGTATGTCAACTGATGACATGATCCGGACTTTGACCTCAAGCATGGTCACCATGCAACAAAACATGGGACAATTTCAACAAACCATGGTACAATTTCAACATGAGACAAAGTCAAGCATTAACAATTTGGAAACCCAAGTTGGTCAAATTGCAAATGCCGTGAACCAACTTCAAACAAAGGACTCGAGTAAACTCCCATCCCAAACGGAGAAAAACCCGAGACAACATGTGAATGCTATAACGTTGAGAAGTGGTGCAACGTTGAAAGAGGTAGAAGAGAACGATGAAGAGACTAAGGGTGTGGAGCCTGGAAAAGTAGTTCCACCGGAGGAGGAAAACAGAGAAACCAAGCTTCCCCCACCCTCATCATATGAACAAGAAATCCCGTTTCCTGAGGCGCTGAAGGAGACAAAGAAGCTAGAAAAAGATGCCGACATCTATGAAACCTTCACAAAGTGTGAGGTAAACATTCCGCTTCTTAACTTCATAAAAAATGTCCCTCGTTTTGCTAAATTCTTGAAAGAATTATGCAAAACAAAAAGAAAAGATAAATTGAAAGGGAAACAAGAGGTTAGAGTTAGTGAACACGTCTCGGCCATTTTTCAGAGGAAACTCCCCGAAAAATGTAACGACCCAGGCATGTTCACTATCCCTTGCAAAATAGGAAACACCACATTTCCTAAGGCCTTGTTGGATTTAGGGGCATCGATAAATGTCATCCCCTATTCTGTTTACAAAACTCTACAACTTGGCCCACTACATCAAACAGGTGTAGTGATTCAATTGGCAGATCATTCTAGTACTTATCCAAAGGGTGTAGTAGAAGATGTGCTAATAGAAGTAGAAAATATGGTCTTTCCTGTTGACTTCTATGTCCTTGAAATGGGAACTGATGACCAAACAACACCCATCCTTTTGGGTAGACCCTTCTTGAAGACCGCAAAAACGAAAATTGACGTTTCTAGTGGTTCACTAACTTTAGAGTTCGATGATCAAAAAGTGGAGTTCAACATCTTGGACTCTACGAAAAAACAAATACAAAATCCAACTCTGTGTTCTTTACATGTTGTTGAACCACAAGAACCGCTGTTTTTCAAAGAAGCGGATAAAATCAGATGTCTTTTGAGAAAGAAACCCCGGCCTTACTGGAAAAGGCCGAAAAATAAAAATGAAAAATGGCCAAATAGGGCCTTAAAAAGTGAAACAAGGGATACTCATGATCCCACATAAAACAAAACCAAAAAAAATGAATAACGTCGTGCCACGACGTTAACTAAGGCGCTACTTGGGAGGCAACCCAAGTTTATCTTAATTTTTTTATTTAAGTGTGTTTAATTCATTTTTTTTATTTAATTCAAGTATTTAGAATTCATTTTTTTTCTAATTATTTGAGAGATCAGCAAGGGAGGGCACTAATCATGGGTTTTTGGAAGAAAAGAAAAAAATGCAGGTTTTGGAACATCTGGGGACATACCCGATCGAGTATAACCTTATACTCGGTCGGGTATGAGCAAAAAGAAAAGGGATCGGGCACTACTCGATCGAGGGAGCATTCAAAAATTGAAAAATAAGCAATACCCGATCGGGTATCACTATACACCCGGTCGGGTATTGCTAGAAATGCTAAAATTGAAGGGGACTGACTCCCACACTCGACCGAGTACCCGCTTCAAAAATGGAAAAAAAAGCATATACCCGATCGAGTATGGAGGAATACTCGACCGGGTACAGGAGACAGGCTGCTCACAAAGTTCATTTTCTAAGCATACTCGACCGGGTAACTCCACCCTACCCGATCGAGTACAGGAGACAGGCCGCTCAAAAACTACACTTTCCAGCCATACCCGACCGAGTACCAGCACATACTCGATCGGGTATACGGGTCTTATAACCCCAAATCAGCCCCAAAACACTTCATCTTCCCCAAATTCCCAACCCTATCTCGAACAAAAAACGCCCAAACCCCATTTTTACACCTTCTCTCTACCATATCTCTTCCAAATCTTCACCAAATCCACCCATTCCAACGCCAAAACACTCCCCTCATCCTCCTCTACACATTCATACCCACCAATCCCATTCTCCCCCAACTTTCAGAGGTCCGAAAAACCCTACCCCCACCATTCCAATTTCGGTTTTCAAAGGCCAAATTCACTTCAAATGGCTCTAAGGAAAGAGAAAGGGCAAAGCTCAAGCACTAGGACAATCATCCCGGGCTACGAGGACATCCTTTTCGTGGACAACGAACAACGCACACGCTTCATGTCCACAATTGAAAGGCAAGTCAAACCTTCCCGCTTTTTATGCCTTGATGCTCTAAAGGAATTAGGAGTATACACAATAATGAAGAAATTTTTTCATGAGTTGCATATGGATAAAATTTTCAAAATGCAATACAACTCAAATGAAAAAATTATCTATGAATTCCTAAGCTCGGTGCACTTTGAGAACAATGAGGAGGACTTTAGGGATGATAAACTCAGGTTTCGATTGTTTAATCACAATCACACCATCACGAAACTTGAGT